TTCCAGGATATTAGTCGACTAATCTACTGAGTCAACAGGGGCCTCGTTTGCAGCACTCAAATAATCTTATGCAGAATAGCTCTCATTTATGTATAAGGCGTAGGGTTGTACGAATGCTCAAAGCTATGTATTACTATATTTATATCAATGATTACTACTGGTGACTTTACAAGAAAAGAGTTGAATCGGAAAGGCATGCTTACATGCACCTAGGTACTAAAACAACAACAGTCTATAAATGCCCACTGCTGAGCAAATTCCCTTCTCACACGGAGAAGGTTTGAGCATTAATCACCACGCAAATTTCTAATTAAAAGCCCTGGTTACCTGACGATGTTTTCCTTCACCGTTTCTCAGTGGTGTCTAGATAATCTTAAAAAGTACATATAACTCAGAAAATGTCATATTGGTACTTGCCGTTGGCAGGTTTCGAACCCGCACACTCATGCATGAGAAGCTGGCATCTTTAGCCTCCGGGTCACCACGACATTAGGTACTACGGTCTCTCAAAAAATCGACGACAAATAATGCGGGCGTTGTATAGCATCCCATGAATGAGGTTACTGTAACTTCCCGAAAAAGCCCAATAATATTTTTTATAGAATTATGGTCCTGATGCTACTTTAGTAAACAAAACATAATTTCTGTTTTTTCTTCTGTTGCCAGTGACAGCCCTATAGTAAACACAATAGTGGCAACACTAGAAAACGTAGCGCATTATTCGCTAATGTCTAATCTAAGCGTTGCTGGGTTTAGTTTGTTAATTATAAATGTATATAAACGAATATTAATACCTATATCAAAGTCGTATACTAATAAAAAATGTTTTTGTAGGTACTATTGCAACATACAGTTTGGATTGATGTCTGTATTATCTAAGTGGCAATAGAGTCAAACTCTGTTTAAACTTTTAAATGAAAAGAGTTTGATTCGGCATACGGCATGAATGCAAGGATCAAAAATAACAATACAATACAATTTGATAAAGTAAAGATAAAATAAAGAAAAATCATAATTGGGTTGCAACGATTTCAACCTAATGTTAAAATCGGTGCAACGTAATTATGATTTTTCACTTCTAATTACGTACTTCTAACTATTTCAGCAGGGGTTAAAAACTGAAATGTAGTAGGGCGTAAAAATTATATACCTCTAGTAACGTTAACGATCTGTACTACAAAAACGTTATAGAATTGTGATGAATAGAAACTTTGCTATTGTTTTTATTCAGGCGTTTATATATTATAAATATTTGATTTTTGATCACTTTGACTGGATTTTAATGTTACATTGTTCTCGCACAATCCAAACAGCAAAACTATGTAACTAGTAAATTGTATTGTGAACCTGATTGAAAAAGAGTAACCTATGGAGTTTCTTGCTCGTTCTTCTCCATAGGAATCTACACCTTGGAATGAGCAAATAGCTTCACTTTCAATTTTTTTGAAAGTGAAGTGTTGACGTTCAAAAGTGCCATTCTGGCCTAATTGAAATAAATGATTTTGACTTTAAAAAAAAAATTTCAAACTCTAATGTGTAAAAGTCTTCTAAGATATCGTAAACTGTATTATTTAAGTAGGTAGGTATGTTTTAGTGCAACCAAAATGCGAGACGCAAAATAACAATACTTACAAACAATTAATACAATTATTATCAAACTGATAACGTAAACAAATTAACTACATATGTTTAGTGTTAGTAAGTTTTTCTGGATTTTTTTAAAACAGGTTATGGTTACGATGTGTTGGTAATCTTTGGGTAGGTATGTGTAAAATTCATATTTACGTGATTGACTTGTTATCTATTACATCTCTGCCTGTTTTCACCGACCTCTTATAGTGTTATTGTCACCAAGCAACAAATATGACACCTTTTTTTGAGGGGTGAAAATCATCTAATGACTTCTCCCGCCTTGGATTAGACTCTAGCCTAATCCACATAGAGTCTGACACTCCCTCTAGCCGCTAGAGGGAGTGTCAGACTCTTACTGACTAAAAACCAACCCGTTCCTACTCCTGCTCTTCGAGCCGCAGTCCCGGCAACCCAATAAGCCTTTTGCGGCTCCATAATAAGTGACACCCAACAGTATAATAAGGCGAAGTGATGTTTAGTTAAAGTAAATAATAGTATACCTACGTACTCGTAAATAAAATACCTCGTGAAAAGTGAGTGTTAAAATATGTACCTACACCTCTGCCTATCCTTCCGAGGAATAAAAGGCGTCATGTTATGTTGTGAGTCAAAACAATTCAAACAAGTCAAACTGTAAAAAGTGTATTAATGGAGTCATAAGTTATGGCTCCATAAATACATTTTTTGTATAATAACAAGATTAATGTCTCATTGTTTATGAATACTTTATTAGTTTCCACAAAATACCATCACATAGTTAGAATATTTCATTTTGTTGTGCCATAACTAGCATACAGTAAAACAATTGCATAATAGAAAAATCCATTCTAGAATGTGCAACAAACAAATAAGACAAGTGTTGCAATGAGTTATTATAGTTTGGTATGAATGCATGTGTAAATGTTCATAACCAGTTAAAGTTCTTACAATTTTTTTGAGGTTGGGACACTGATGCTTATTTATTAACTATGTATTGAAGTAGTTTAGACTAGACTGACTCGTTGGCCGAGTGATTGCCGGGAGTCTCGGTTCGATTCCCGGGTCGGACAAAGTATAAAGAAAAACTCAAAAAAGTAGTAGCGGGGTGTCTGGAATTGTGACCGGTATTATGGCAATAGGCTCACCCCCTATTATATGGGACTCATAATACCTCTATAATTAGTGGAAAGTGTGTGTTACATTGTACAGTGCCGTAACGAGCACCTTTGCCTACCCCTCCGGGAATAAAAGGCGTGATATCAATACATAGTATAAAACAAAGTATCTTTCGCTGTATGTCCGTATGTATGCTTAGATCTTTAAAACTACGCAACGGATTTTGATGCGGTTTTTAATAGATAGAGTGATTCTTAAGGAAGGTTTGTATGTATAATACATGCATATTGCACCCGTGCGAAGCCGGGGCGGGTCGCTAGTTATATTATATATGAAGTAGTTTAATTCATTATTTTAATCTAAGTATATCAACTACATAACATCATTGTTTATTGAAAGGGTTGCAGATTCAAATATAATTAAATTAGACACATTTATATAGACATGCAAGACGCATTTTTTGCTAATAATGTCCAAATACCATTTTTATGGATTAGCACCAGACGAGCCACACAAGCTTTTAAAAGAAGCGAATCTACTGCCACGTAGGTACTGGGCCCAATTATAAAATTCGAGGCAGTAGCATACAGATTCGGAATCTCAGTTAGGTTATTTTAGAAGATGCTGCGAATACGACTGTTCTCAGTTTTAAAACACACCTGGGTTTAATCTGTGAATTCTTTTAATATGTGATTGAAATAACTTTAAATGATTTACTTTAATAAACAGAATTTTGGAATTTATGAATCCGTGAGTGTTGTGTATATCTGTCACTGATATGGACATTAGACTTTTTACATTTTGTATTGAACTGTGTTATGGCTAGTGTATACTGTTGATGTGCCTTTAATAAATAAATAACAGATACATGAATTAAAACTGGTTTTTTTTACAAACAAGAATAAGTTGAATTACTTTATCGATCGCCATATCGAAGTCACGAACACTTATTTCTGAGAAGTGCTAATGAAACCACACATTATCTTAATTACTGAGGTTGCTAACATCGATCACGTTCCACTTAGGAGGTAAGCAGCACTGTTTATATAATTCTGTCACGTTGTGTCTATGTGTTATCTGTTGAAAGATAGGTATCATGCTGAGAGTATGATAATGTTAAATGAGGGGTATTAAAAGTTTTCTTGAAAGATACACTGTGTCCTGTTACTAACCTATGTGCTATCGAAGTCGCGGAGAACCTAACAGGTTACCGGGGCTCCGGCTCGACGTGCAGAAGAAGGAACGGGGTTGTTTTTAGTCAGTAAGAGTCTGACACTGCCTTCCGCCTCACCCAGGCGGGAGAAGTAATTCGATGATTTTTGCCCTTAAAAAAATAACCTGGTTGTGTTAATAAAGAAAATTTTCTTAACAATTAGTCATTTACATACCTTGTCTTCCATTGGAGAAGGCAAAGACCCAATGTCCTCTCATAGGTGATGATAAAGACCAGTGGATGGTTTTCTTGAGGTAAACATATTATACAACCTCGTCTTTTTCCAAAGTTTAGATGCTAGCTGTTTAAAACGTGTGAGACAGCCATGCTTCGGCACGAATGGGCCGGCTCGACCGGAGTGATACCACGGCCTCACAGAAAACCGACGTGAAGCAACGCTTGCGTTGTGTTTCGTCGTGTGACTGAGGTTACCGGAGGCCCGATTATCCACCCCCCCTTCCCCAATCTCCCCAATCCCTGAATCCCGAACGATCCTCAAACTCCTAATCCCCAAAAGGCCGGTAACGCACTTGTAACACCTCTGGTGTTCCAGGTGTCCACCATCAGGTGATCCGTCTGCTCTTTTACCTCGATGAAATAAAAAAGGCTTTTGATGGTATTCCTCGACATAAAAAATACATTTTGCGTAAATATTTCAATATTATTGTCAAAACTGGTGACACATTTTGCGGTTAACCTTACTTCGGTAAAATAAAACTTAATTAAGCCTTTTGCACAAACTCTGAAACTAATTCATTTTCAGCGGTTTCTGACGTACAGGGAATTTCCTATTGGTTATGTAGTAATGCCTAATTGTAGCCTAACACTATACAAGTCTATTATAGGTAAGTTATCATGTTGGTATGAAAAACCAAGATCAAATTAGTGCAATTTGAAATGATGATGTCAGTGCCACGGTTGGATCATAAATAGTATATCATATTTGGTGATAAGTACTTACGTGTCTATGGTATTGGGGTCACGCCACCTATTATTATACATTACATGTCATTATTTATTTATTTATTTATTTATTTATTTAAAACTGAAACACGAATTATGTAGATCGCTGCCGGAGGCTCCAAAGAAAACCAAGAACTTCTTAGACAAACTTTAATTAATATTAAAAAGGTTACAAATTAATTCCTATCTGCTAATACAATTGATCCTGTTCGATGCAAGAATCAGAATGATCATATTATAATGCTAATGATTAATCCTAAGTTACAATTAGTATGACGAAATCACTTTCCGGTAAGTAAGCGAGTCAGTATCGAACAATACCGCGAGGTGTCGCAATACATATTCACATGTAAGGGTCTTACTAAGCATTGGCATTGAGGCCGATGCACACTTGGCACTTTATGTGTCGTAATGCACTACAACACTGGTACTAAGAATCAGCATTAAGGCCGATGCACACATAGCACTTGACGAGTTGTGAGTAGTCATGTACTATAACACCTCCACCCGCAGATCAGCAACTATTTTCGAGACATGAATTGAGAAAGAGTTGCTGGATTTGGTTGTCTTGTCTCTGATTCTCCAGGCTTTGCATATACTGTCTCCTCCTGAAGAGATTTTGTTTGGAGTTTTCTGCCTTGAAATGTCTTATTGCACCGTATAATAAGTAGTATAATGAGTGCAAATGCACTTAACAGCAGCAAGGTGTAAAAAGGGATCGTTGTGTGGTACAGTGCGTCATCTGGGATTTGGTTGAGTCTTATTGCAGGTTGCGCCATTAGTTGATACTGGACATCATGTACTCTTGAAAGATCTATCGATTTCAGTTTCAGTTGCGTCATCTTTTCAGGTTTTATGTCCATGTTGTAGGATATATTCATAATCTTCAGGGGGCGTCCCTCCACGTGATCGTTGACATTGGTGATAGCAAATTCTGAGGTATATAGGAAGCAATTTTCGGGAACTGTGGCTAAGTAGCTTCCATCTACTGTTATATAGTCTTCCTTTCCACATACAGTGTGAATCCTTGTTGAATTCGGGAAAGATATGACGTAGTGTCTTTCGTCCAGTTCTTCCATTGAAGCCTTTGCTAGGGTTAGTTCCATGACGTCACATTTCTCATCTATAGTTTGGTCCAAGATGAGATGCTGTATACAATCAGGTTGTTGCCGAAGCTGGTGGTCCATCTTGTCGGCACAGAGATACCAGTTATCGTACTTCGGGCATTCTGCCTCTATGTACACAAAACCTTTCCTGTTGGTTGCTATCAATGGAAAAGGAGGGATGAGGGCCTGTTTGAATTTATTAGGAGCTATTGACAACTTGTAAAGATCGAAACTATCCGTCGCAAATATAGGCAACTTAAAGACTATAACTATCTGGCTACCTGAGTAGTAATATCCAGGTTTTATTAGGTCATAATATTCCCTAATATCTAAATCTACTATTTGATCTCTACTATAAATCTTAACTAACTTTTGAATCATATGTCCTAATACTTCTGTACTTAACATGGAATGATGTGTGCTAGATGCGTGTATGAAGGCTAGGATGTTTTCTATTCTAACTAATTCCCCTAAGACTTCATCAATGTTCTCGGTTAAAATGGTTAGATATTGAGCAAACTTAGCATATTTTATAAGATAATTATCTCTATAAGCATCATTGTCTAAGATTAATCTTAAGGTTTCATTTATCTTAATTTGATTCTCTACTAATTTTGAAACTATGTTAGAATGCTGAGCCATCCACTCCTTACTGAGGCTAATATGATTGTTAAACTCTTCAGCTAATTCATTACTATTATTTTGTAGAGTTTTAATAGCACTGTCATATCGAATGGCATCTGATTGATCTAAGTTACCGGTTACACTTTTAATAATCGATCCTAAACCATCAATGAGACCTCTCTTTACGCGACCCGGTTTTAGAGTTTCTAAGTGATCCGCGATTCTAAGCAGTTTATTAGAGAGATAATCTATCTGTAGCTCATATAACATGTAAGTATCATTACTTAAACTATACTTATAGTGAGACAATTGATCGAGTAACAAATTAATCTTATCGTCAATATCTTTAAGTTCTATGTATTGTAGGAATGAATGGTAATGTGTTACGAGTTTTGTGGCTCCCAGTCGGAAGGGTAATAATCCTGGGCCATCTTCAAGGCTCTCAAGTGTTATCTCCTGATTTATCCCGCGAGCTGTTATCGAAGGAGCAATCAGGACCAGTAGCACCCTGCAACAATTGGGCACTTTTAGGCACTCTCTTAAGATGGCTTTTAGCGACAGGGCCACGTTTTTTAGACGTATAAATATGTATTGGTAAATCCGATAAAACAGTATCGTGACTATATCTCGGAGCTAGTTTTTGACGGTCGGCTAATGGATTCTTTACAAATATACGTTGCTGTGGTTGATATTCGACTTCCGGTTCGCGATTTTTGTTCCTGTTCTCTATTATGTTAGTACGTGTTGCAAGAGCAGTATCGTTAATTAATTCATACACCATCTTCATCTGGTCCCTATGAGTCTGCGTATATTGTTGCATCAAGTGCTTAGTCAAATCTATGTCGAATGGATCACGAGGATCAAAGTGTCCTGTAATAATGTCATAGGGTCTGCATTTTGTAAAACTGTGAACGGAGTTATTGTATGCTAAGAGTGCATATGGTATAAGGTTTCTGACACTGGACTCTTTATAAGTTAGTTTGAGTAAACGCAAGTGCTCTAATAAGGTAGAATGAAATCTTTCTACGATACCGTTTTCGTTTGGTGTATGAGGCAAAATTCTGTGGTGGTTAATTTTATGCGTGTTAATAAATTCATTAAACAGTTGATTAGTAAATTCTGTACCATTATCTGAAACTATAGTTAAGGGTAAACCGTGATGTGTACAGAATTTTAATAATGCTTGTAGTATGCTAATTGCTGTGCCATCTGGGATGTAGTATGCTTGAGCATACTTAGAAAAAACATCTACTATTGTAAAATATTTTTCATTTTGAATTGATAATAAATCTATATGTACAATTTCAAACGGCTTTGTAGCAGGGGGAACAATATGGAATTGCTGTTTAATTGGGTTGCGATCGTATTTCCCTTGACCACAGATGATACAATCATTAACAAATTTCGTTATGTGATCTTTCATCTTAGGCCAGTAGTACTGTCGCGATAAGGATAAATAACACTCATTTATACCACGATGGTTGGTCTTTCCTCCGTGGTAGTGATTAATTATCTCTTGTTGTCTCAGATATTCACTGACGTTTACGACTTCACTCTTAGCTAAAACCAAGTTCATGGCTGAGCTCTTGAATTTCTCTTGTATAATAGGGATTATGTCATACATAGCTAAAGGAGGATTTATAAGCAGTGCCGTCTTGATCTTAGGGTTTACATATTCTTTAATTATATTTACTATATCATTCTCTAAATTTGACCTAGAAACCTGTACAGCTGTTCTAGTGTGAGTGTCGAAAGGTTTGGACACCGAGGGGCGTTTTTTTATATCACCTACTACAGATATGCATATTTGTCTGTGGAATTTATTTAACGGATCATCGACTATTGGTACCTCGAGAATGGGGTTTTCATTACTAGTGTGAGCGGATACTGTGGATGAATTCCCTACTGATGGTGGGCGCTCCGAAACATTAGCTACCATGGAAATTGTCTCTTCGTTATTAATTGTTATACGAGACAAAGCATCTGCATTAGTATTAGATAAACCCTTTTTATAAATTACAGTAAAATCGTATTCAGATAATTTTAATTTCCACCTGGTTAACCGTGAATTGGGTTCTTTCAGATTCATAACCCACTGAAGTGGTTTATGATCTGTTACTATTTTAAATTTTCTACCAAATAGATACGGCCTGAAATATTTGGTCGCCCAGACAATAGCCAGAAGCTCCTTTTCGATGGTACTGTAATTTATTTCACTTTCGTTTAGAGTTCTAGATGCATAGCAAACCGGTTTATCCGACCCTATCGTGCCCTGGGATAGTACCGCGCCTAATGCTACGTTTGAGGCATCGGTAGTTAAAATAAATTCTTTCGTGAAATCCGGATACTGTAGTACTGGATCATTGACCAGCAGTTTTTTACAATATTCAAAGCAATTTTGATACTCAGAGTTGATTATAATTTTTCTACCTTTTTTCAGGCATTGCGTGAGCGGTTTTGTGATTTTCGCAAAATCAGGAATGAATTTTCTGTAATATCCAATAAGGCCAAGAAACTGTTTAATTTCTTTTGGGGTGGTTGGTATTGGATAGTTCTGTATCGCTACAATTTTGTCTGGGTTAGGTTTAATTCCATTTTTAGTAATAATGTGCCCTAAGTACGCTGTTTCTAATTTGAGAAATTCGGATTTATCCATTTGGATTTTGAAATTAGACTCCCGTAATTTTTGGAAAACCTTTTCTAAGTTAATTATATGTTCCTGTAGTGAAGTACTAAATACCACGATATCATCCAAATAGACTAAACAGACAACGTTCTGAAGATCTTTGAGGACATTGTCCATTACCCTCTGAAAAGTTGACGGGGCATTCTTCAAACCCATAGGCATGCGCAAAAACTCATAATGCCCATTTTCCACATTAAATGCAGTTTTCGGGATGTCGTCAGGGTCCATTTCGACCTGATAAAAACCACTAGCCAGATCCAATGTAGAAAAATATTGGCAGTTGCCTAATTTATCCAATACGTCGTTTATATTAGGAATAGGGTATTTATCGTCGTGCGTTTTTTCATTTAGTTTGCGAAAGTCGACTACCAATCGCCACTTTGTTTTACCAGAAGCATCGGATTTCTTGGGAACGACCCATATGGGTGAGCTCCAAGCGGACTCGGATGGTCTGATAATGCCTTGACTTAGCATTTTAGTTATCTGATCTTTAACCTCTTCTCTATGAATATATGGATAACGGTAACTTTTGGTGTATACTGGTAATTCATCGGTAGTACGGATGCGATGTTTAATTTTATTATTAAAGGTTAAAGTCTCACCGTCTATGTAAAATACATCCGCATATTTTGAGCATAATTTCTCTAAATTAATTCGTTCTTCTTCATTTAGGTGGTCCGTCCGCAACCGGGATAAGACCTCTTTAGCACGGTCGTTGGATTGTATTGTACGTGCACATTGAATATTATAAACTTCGGCCTGTATAGCGCGGTCCATTGAAAATACTAGGTCATGAGAAGTAGGATTACTGATTTCTAAAAATCCACGATTATTTTTAACAGTCGTAAGACATTCTTTAATTATGCAATTCGAAATTATTTGTTCATCGATAAAAGCTTCTCCGTCGTGTAAATGAATAGGTACCTTAACTATTTTTGATGAATTGGCAGGTATAACATCTTCGTATAAATTTAAATTCCGTGAATTGTACATGTTAATAGGGTTAACTGAATAACGAGTTTTTAATATCTTGTCTTTTAGATCAATTTTTGCTTCCCACTTCTCTAAAAGGTCGAGTCCTATAAGTCCATCAAAATAATCATGAAATCTGTAAATGTATAATTGAATATCACTCGGTTCTTGGAATTCTGCAAAACAAGGGATGGTTACTGAATAATCATTACGAGAGGTGGCATGAACGTTGGTGACTTCGAAAGGAGTGTAATTTAGGGGTAAGTTACTGAAAAATTTGTTCACAGCATCGGGACTTATGAACGATTGATTGGCTCCTGTATCAATCAAAAATTTTAGGGGCGGATTTGAGATTTGTAAGTACGGAAGCTGACGTTGACTTTGTAGATTTAGTTCTATTTTGATTTTTTTGACTTCGAGCTTTTCTGAAAATCCTGGTCTTCAGAAACGCTGGTAGACGGTTGAGGTTCTTGGGGAAGAGTTGACTGGTAATCTATTTCGGGATAATTATAGGGCTCATTATAAGTTCCGTAAAACGGTTGATAAGGTTCGATATTATAATATTCAACATTACTAGCGCAGTAGTAAGCATCTGATTCGTTGCAGTTATAATCTGGATAGTAATAATATTCTTCATAGTTCGCGCAATCATTCACGTTAACATCTTTAGTCTTAAAATAATTTGAAACCGGTGGATTACCCTGCTTACGCCAATCGTGACCAGCTAGTTGAGTTTGTTGCGGTCTCTCTCTAGTAACGTAGTGGCTGACTCCACTCATAGGCTTAGGGCCCAAATTATTGTTAAAATTTCTTTGAGGCATATTAAAATTTCTTTGGGGTATCTGAAAGTTATTAAAAGAATTATTATAGTTTGGCGGCGGCGCACGAAACATTTGCTGCGTGCGCGACGGCAGCATTGCGGCTGTTGGTCTAAATTGTACCCCTTGATTGACGTTAGGTTGGAAATTAGGTTTCCATGCAGGTTGGGGGATCTGAAAATTATTCGCAAGTGCAGGTCGAGCGGGAAGATTGAGTGGCTTTAACATAGAACTAGCTACTGGAATCGTGGGCAAAGGTTTGGGTAACTGAGCTTGATTGCTTTTCTTTTCGCTAATTGGATCATTGCGGTTTTGGAGGTACATAACATTCAGTTCTTCCTGCACAAATTCTAACGCTTTCTCAACACTGTCAGGACGCATGCATCGAATGCGAGAACCTAGGGGTTCTTTTAATCCTCGAACGAATGCCTGCATAGTCAATTTTTTATAAAGTGCCCTTTTAGCTTGAACTGTAGTTTCTATCGTTTCGTGTAATGTAACATACGTCATGATAGTACTGAATAAATTGACACACCGATCGTAGAATTCCTGTGGGGTATCATTATTCTGCGTTGCTAACATTAGATCATTATAAAGAGTGGTTTCATCTCTCTGGTCCGCGAAGTTATTTATTAAGGTAGCTTTGATATCACTCCAGTTTTCAGATATACCGTTTGAATTAATAATCAGTGCGGCCGGTCCCTTAATTTTATTCAAGATGCCATTTATCAAACAGAGTTTAACTAGCGAGTTTCCTGGATTTGCGTCTATATACTCTGCCACTAATCTGTCGCAAAGGTGAATAAATCGCGTTAACACGTTCGCGTTACCATCAAAATCCGGTAATAGGCGTAATGATTTATAGATACTATCTGCCTCAGCCATTGTTGAAACTGCAGTATCTACCGAACTAAAATAACCTTCGAATGTGGCACTTGAATCTACACTAATATATCTAGTATTATCTACGTCTAACCTACGTGCCTCCCTAGCGCGCGAAGGCCCACTAGGGGTGTCTTTCCTGGGATGGAAAATGGTTGCAACTAAAAATAACTAAAAGGAAATTGATAGCAACACACAGAAACAATTCTAGTGTACTTACATAAACAGCATTCTGGTTTCTCTGGAATCGATGTCTTGATTTCCCCTCCGATCAGGATCACAGGTTCTTTCAGGATACTCGGGTGCCCGAATCGCTCGCGACGGCGTTAGCGATATTAACAGTACGGCTCTTCTATATGAGGATAGCCTAGCTAATATACTACCTCGAGACGCCTCGAGTATCCTACCGACTGCGCCAATTATGTAGATCGCTGCCGGAGGCTCCAAAGAAAACCAAGAACTTCTTAGACAAACTTTAATTAATATTAAAAAGGTTACAAATTAATTCCTATCTGCTAATACAATTGATCCTGTTCGATGCAAGAATCAGAATGATCATATTATAATGCTAATGATTAATCCTAAGTTACAATTAGTATGACGAAATCACTTTCCGGTAAGTAAGCGAGTCAGTATCGAACAATACCGCGAGGTGTCGCAATACATATTCACATGTAAGGGTCTTACTAAGCATTGGCATTGAGGCCGATGCACACTTGGCACTTTATGTGTCGCAATGCACTACAACACTGGTACTAAGAATCAGCATTAAGGCCGATGCACACATAGCACTTGACGAGTTGTAAGTAGTCATGTACTATAACACACGAAAGTCATAGGCACCTCGTTTGCTATTGGTTACCATCAAGGAGAAAAAACGCTTGCTATTGATGACAATTGTAGGATGAGTAGTTGGAAGTATATATGCTGAGCATCATAACTTTAGTGTTTTGATTGTTGTTAATGGTGTAGTAACCATGGTATGGTAATAAGCTGTCAGGAGATCACCTATCGTAGATAGCACGCTTTATAGAAGGTGCAAATTGGTTGTCGGATTTTATCAAGTTAGAGGGACAGGGTTAAAATTCATGATCATCGTCATCAACAACCTATAAATGCCCACTGCTGAGCAAAGCCTCTTCTCACACGGAGATGGTTTGAGCATTAATCACCATGCTTGCTCAATGCGGGTTGGCGATTTCAAAATTATAATTTAGGTTAAGTCTAGGTTTCCTCACGATGTTTTCCTTCACCGTTTTGTCAGTGGTGTCTAAATAATCTTAGAAAGTACATATAACTCAGAAAAAGTCACATCGGTACTTGCCGTTAGTAGGTTTGAACCCTCCCTCTCATGCATGAGGAACGCCCGTTTTCTTAATATCTGGGCCACTACGACATTGAGTGTTAAAATTACTTAATCTAATTTTTTGTACCGTTATCTTATCATCATTTCAGCCAGAAAACCTAGAATTAGACATAGACCTAGTCTCATACGGAGAAGGAATGAGTATAAATCACTTATACTTGTTCAAAACGAAATAAAAGATACTTAAATAAAAAATACACAATAATAAATTCAAATTCTACGTTCCCAAATGACCATACAGCAATTCTAAATTGAATTTCAATTCTATTAAGTTATTATCATAATAATGGAGTGCGCATTACAACTGCATAGAGCGCGTCTCCCTTAGGAATAGAGACAGATTGGTAGAGACTGAGAGACTGAGTCCCACATTATTATGTAGATTGCGTAAACCTAGATAGAATATTATTCTAGCTTTTGATTGTAGTAATTGAGGTCATAGAATTGATTCTCGAGTACATTAAGGTGACATTGATTTTTTATTTAGTATGCTATCTTTTTTTTTAAGGGGGAAAATCATCGAATGTCTGCTCCCGCCTGGGTGAGACGGGAGGAAGTTTTAGACTCTTACTGACTAAAAACCACCACGGTCCTTCTCCTGCACGTCGACCCGGAGCCCCGGTTACCCGTTAGGTTCTCCGCGACTCCGAATTTAGTGTGCTGTCTAAATTGTGATTAATGTTCGGTAATACGAATGACGAACTGACCCGACGAATGCTTTGGAGGATAAGGTAGGGGATATATAAGGGGGATATATAAGTGGTCTGATGTAGGATGATGACGTGATTTAAATTTTGTACTGTCTTTTGCAGACTTTTGTAAAGTACTTTAAACTGTCAAACACCGCGAGGACACCGGTGACCGCAACCTATTGTTCTTTAATTGTGTCTATAATGACGGTACTCAAAGAACAGATAGGTAGACAAGACGTTTTTAATATTACCATCATAATAAACCATAAGACGCCCATTGCTGAATTCAAGAGTCTCCCAAATCGATGGGGTTTTTTAAGGCATAAGCCGGTAAACGAGCAGACAGATCACCTGATGGTAAGCAATTAGCGTGTCCCATGGACACCTGGAACACCAAATCCGTTTTAAGTGCGTTATCTTCGTTTAGGGGATTTGAAGATTGTTGAGGTTTCCATGAATTGGGGAGATTGGGGAGGGGGGGGGGTATGGGCCTGTAGTAACCTTACTCACACGACGAACGTTGTTTCACGTCGGTTTTCTACTTGGCCGTGGTATCACTCCGGTCGAGTTGGCCCATTCGTGCCGAAGTATGGCTTTCCCACACTAGGCGATGGGTTGGAAGCGACCTGAAATCAAAACATATACAATCAATAAATGTATGTTGCACAGAACTAAACAATATATGTATGAACATAGTATTTATTGTATAGTAATATTTTAATTATACTTATGGAAATAAGTTTAAGAAAATGATACAATCGTGAGCAGCTTTGAGTCACGAAGCTAGACGATTTTCTCAGCTTAGTTCTGGGAATGTGTTTTCAAATATATTATGCAGGTCGTGTCCAGGGCATCATCATGACTGACGCAGGTAACGTCGTGAGGTGATCTATACTATGCTTATATGTCTGTTTGGTCTACAAAACGTTGGTAAGTCAATCTTGGCTTATGCCCAATGAAATATAGGAAAGAAATATATACCTACTAGCTTTTACCCGCGGCTTCGCTCGCGTCACAAAAGGATAAAAAGTAGCCTATGTGACATATACAACAGCGCTATCTATACCAATGATTTCGTTTTTCCTCGAGAGTATCAAATTTTTCCGGGATAAAAAGCCCTATTATTTATTACAGACTTCTAACTTTACGTCTGCAAAAATTCAAAGCCAACGGTTTAGTAATTACGGCGTGAAAGCGGAACAAATAAACAAACTCACTTTTGGATTTATAATATTAGTAATATACTTTCTTATACTATTATATAAAGCGAACGAATTGTTTGTTTGAACGCGCTAATCTTCGTAACTACAAGTCTGATTTGAATAATTCTTTTTGTTTTCGGTAGCGCATTTATCGAGGATGGCTATAGGCTATAAAACACGCTACGACCAATAGGAGCTGAGCAGAGCGTGTGAAACCGAGCTAGTTGTACCTATAAATAAAAAAAAAGACATATATAAAATCTATATTGCTACAAAAATGCTCGTCATTCTACAATATAATAAGTACCTATCTCTTATACATATATCAAACCACAAACAAAAGCCATGTCATGACTGCTCAAAATGGAATATTATATGAGTAGTACTGTGGTAATGTTTTCCTCCTTACTTGTATATGCATAGGTACTTACTACGTGTACATCGAAACACCCTGTCGTGCCAAAATCTTTTTAACCAAACGGTATAAACTTTATTTCCAAAGAGATAAGGTTGAAACTCTATTAACAGGGTTTGACAGTTTTGGATAGCTTGATGTGCTGGTCAATTGATTGGTACCAAGTTCAAGGCCTACAGCGAAACGAGTTCACAAAAAGTTAAGGAAAATTACTACGAAATAGTTTTAATGAATAAAGTAGTATTCATTACACGGTGGTATTGTTTGTTATGCTTTTACCTCTTAAATCACTCTACGAATACATTATCCCTATATTATTAATTAAGTGACAATAAAAGTTGAAGATTGGTTCGTTGGCCGAGTGTTCGCAAGTGCGACTACCAGGCAAGGGGTCTCGAGTTCGATTCCCAGGTTGGGAAAGTATTGAGCCGCGGAAGACTTAACGAGATGCCGGGGCTCCGGCTCGAAGTGCAGGAGTAGGAACGGGGTGGTTTATAGTCAGTAAGAGTCTGACACTCCCTCTTGCCTCACCCACGCGGGAGCAGTCAGACAAAAAAAGGTTGTAATAGGTTTTTAAAAAATTCTCAGTAGCAGCACGGAGTCTGGGATTGTGCCCAATATATGACTTACCCCCTATTACATACGACTTATACTTAAATAGTGAAAAATGGGTGTAACATTATACAGTGGCATTAAGTGTCATAATGTGAACCTCTGCCTACCCCTTTGGGGATAGAAGGAGTGATGTTATGTTATGTTAAAAGTTAAAGAAGATTCAAGGAGCGAATACACAGATAAAAAAGCTGTATTTGAAATGTTTCTTTAAATTTTGTTATCATTCAGTAAGTAATCTCGATTTATGTTCTGAAGTAAATCCTTATCCTTCAAATCAGTGACTATAATGGTGAAAGTGACCTGCGACTGAACCAATCACAAAATTGTATGAAAGAAAGTACAATGATTTCATTGATTCTCCCTCAGAATCAACATCTTTGTATTGTCCGTTTGTCTGTTGTTGAAAACATGCGACTATTGCTTCCTATATTAACGGAAATAATAAAGCGAATCTTTAAACACATGGCTGGAAAATTGTCAACAACGTATTGCGAACACAATTGCTCTCCACTTGCTTTTAGATTCTTAATTTTAACTGGCACCTGGATTCCACGTACCTTTTTATGGGACAAGTCTATCACAACCTCCGAAATTCCTGAAACTCCATGGAAATACCAAAAACTCAGGTTACTTTTGTGTGCATCTATGTTTACTATGTTTAGAGATTATTACATAATAGTACTTGAATAATATTATTTAGCCTAGCTTTACTGACAGACAGACAGATTGACTGACGGACAACTAAAATTTTGACGTACCAAAAGTTAAAGTTAGTTAATCAAGTATTAATTGAAATAAATGCTTTGACTTTGATGACTTTATTATTAAATAAAGGAATTTAGATTAAATAAACTACACTCGTTGTACCACAGAATCATAGAGGTTTTATTAATATAGAATTGACACTGTCTATGGATATCATGGTAGAACATAGACTGAGAATGGAAAAGCGATTAATTTTATAATTAGTTCAACAGACTTTAATATGTCTTTTATATGACTACGGGTTCGATTCCCGGGTCGGGCAAAGTATTACTGGGTTCTTATAAAAATTCTCAGTAGTAACACGGAGTCTGGAACTGTGCCCGGTATATGGCAATAGGCTCACCTCCTATTACATGGGACTCATAACACAAAATAGTGAACAGTGGGTGTTACATTGTATAGTGGTATAATGTGTACCTCTGCCTAACCCTTTGAGGATAAAAGGCGTGATGTTATGTTACTTTAATATGTATTGTACATTTTTCCTTGAAGATAAAAAAATAATCAAGGAAAACATTTGGAATATTACTGCCGTGATAAAAAGATAAAAATGTAAAATCAATTATCAATACAGGAATAGATGCTCTAAAATTATAACAGCATAGACTTATAAGGCTCATCATCCTTCTAGTCGAACCAAAAATACACACAGCGGAAAAACCAAAATAAAAATATACTCCAAAAAAGAAAATTTAGCATCAATTAACTGATATCGGTACAAGAAGTTTATTCGTGACGACAAAATGTCGGGAAAAACCAGTTAC